TCTCTCTCTCTCTCTCTCTCTCTCTCTCTCTCTCTCTCTCTCTCTCTCTCTCTCTCTCTCTCTCTCCTCTTGAATGATAATGCGTCTGAATGATTGTCCCACTCTTGAATGAAAATGAGTCGGCATTCTGTGTGAAAGAACTTCTTTCGGAACTCTTCCATTAGTTTCCTGGGTAATCCTCCTACACAAGGACCTTGTCCTCTTGTCTTGTGAACGGTGGATGCGTGTGTACTGAGTAATGTGATCCATCTTTTCCTGTGCATGTCTCACTTTCGCACCTTCCACAGTGAATACATGTATGGAATGTGTGACTCTTTTGTTGATTAGACGATTGTCGTCGGGATTTTGTTCGAGAATGCAAGAGTGTTTAGATTTGTGGCTCTGTTTGCACTGTGCACGCCATCAGCCTTATGTTGCACGACATCAGCAGCCGAGCCACGAGGTGGCCCTGAGAAACAAGGCGCCCAGGGACCAACGTTGTGTTGAACTGATCGGACCAGTAGCCATATGCGTGATCAAGCTGATCTGTGTTTGCTCTCTCTCTCTTGTGTCAAAAAGATTGGTTGGGGGACGCGCGAATCACTTTTGTTCTTAATGACGTCTCAGGATATTTTGTGATTGATTGACATGTGGACTGACAAGTACCCTTCGATTGGGCGCCAGCCTCCCGTATCTCCCATCCCAACGCGACCTCTTCCTTACAATGAGGAAAGGACACGTGTATGTGAGTGGGACGTAGGAGAAACCGTTGCACAAATCGGCAGGCAGTATTACTTCCCTCCAGTCAACCGCTGTTCTGGGTTCGTAGAAGTCGGGTTTGTTATTATCGATACGCACTTCCCACCTTACTCGGTATTGTTGTCATTTAACTAGTTGATCGTCATTCCGTGGACGGCAGTAGAACCCCACTGGCCGTGCACTCTGTGCACCGAATGTCAGCGTTTTGAGCGCTACGAGTCCAAGGGTTTTCACTACCGTGTGCGGAGCGAAGACGGGCATAAAGAAAGAGCCACGCGCCTGAGACCCTCCACGTCAGACTCGGAACTAACCAGCGAACGACGACGAGACTTGATACGAAAACGAGACACGCGAAGCGTGCCCAAGCCTTTCTGTTCTAAGCGACAGGCTGTAGCCCGGTGGGAGGCACGACAATACTTTTTGGATTGAATTTGGATTTTTCCCTCTCTTCCCGCCTTGCCCGCGCGCGCGAAAAACGATCGACTTGCTCCATCGGACCAACACGGGGGATTTCAGTTTCGTCTGTGTCCCCACACTCAATTTTCAAAAATCCTTGGCACACCCCATCTTGCTGTTTTTCTTGGCCTCCTTTCCGCACAGCTAACACTCCGAACGGAAGACGGCACAGGGCGTGAGGTTGGTATCGGAGTCGACACGTGTCGGTTCTGATAATAGCAAGTCGAACTGGCGAGAGGTAGGAGAGACCCTCAACTAGCTCGTCGAGATCGCCCCGTAACCAGGTCTCAGTCTAGTGCGGCTGCGCTAGCAATACCAATGGTGGACGGTACTAGGGTGATCGTTAGCATCCCTGTCCCCTTCCCCTTCTTTCCCAACCATACCCATCCCGAGGCTTGGCTGGAAGCTATCGAAGCTCAAAACTACAGCGCAGCCGATCTTCCTCGTGTTCTGACCTTACTACTCCGCAATACATCGCACGACTGGTTCAGAAAGCATACATGGGTAGATTGGGAGACTTTTAAGCGTGCATTCTTTGCTCGATTCGACACGGTTAGTGAAGATGCCGCCTGATACGTACTCAAAAATCGACCCCAAGGACCAGAAAAACTGTTACCCAATTTCGTTGATCGATTTCAAACCACATTGGATAAATCCGGGCGAGACGAGAAATCTGCTCGAGATTTGTTTATTGATCACCTTCGAAGTCCGACCTTGAAAGGGAAAATGCAGAAAAAGGTTCCGCCGAAAACAACCCAGTTATCGGCTATCATCACTAAAGCCTTGGAGCTAGACTTGGCTGATACAAAAAAATATATCAGCCAGGGAGACGAGGACATTACAGATACCATACGGGATGTAACGGCCAAAAGGCGATCATGGCTGCAAGCAGTCGAACGGTTTTATCCCCGCCCCAACCATGATCTTCCCGGCGGGATCGTTTCCGATATCCCGACTGCTTCTCCTCCATCTCCCCCGGTGAATCAATCGATCGCAGCCGTTAATAGCAGAACTTCATCTGAACCCCCCTTGCCGGCCGTAACGAATCTACACCTTGCCCAGATGATCCATACGGTTGCTACCAAGCAGTCCGAATGGATGAGCAACTTGATCCAAATGCAGGCCGCTCATATGGAACGGATGGAACAGATAATGAGCAGGCTCGTTAAGCCTAACCCAGCTCCTGCTCGGCCTGCCCCTGCATCATTTCCGCTCTTGCCTGCTCCGCCTGCTCCAGGATTCGCACGTCAGTTTCCTCATCTAGCTAATCCGGCTGGAAAGATCGAGTGTTTTAACTGCAAACAGCCCGGGAATTTCGCCCGGGACTGTCCGCAGCCGAAACGTAATCAGCCTCCCCTTGCTGCGGCCCCCGTTGCCCTTAATCAAGGACGAGTGGCCACTCTGATGGCTACGGATCAAGGAAGAGAACTTGTGGCATATGCCACAGAGCAGCCCTCCCCTTCGATGGCAACGACATCGACACCGGGAGCTTCTTCCCCCGACGCTGCTGACGTGGTCGATCCTCTCGAGTATCTCCATCTCGCAGGCATGATCGGAGCGATCCGATTGGTCCCAGATGATCTCGAGTGGGTCGATCGCGAATCCAATCCAGGACCGCAGTTTCGGACAGGAGACATTGATGTACTGAGAACGCTCAAGCAGTTAGACATCCGCGTTCCTATCCTCGTAGGGCATCTGCTCACCATATCTGAAGCGGCGAACGATAAACTTTTACAACACTGCCAGAAAAATCAAAAGCGTTTCACCTATCAACGCAT